ATAATTTTATAATATTACAGCCAGAAGAATGTCTTGAGCTATTCAGTAGACCCGCTTTAATTACTATATTTAATAAATTACTGCTATTACAAACTAAATTGCCAATGGTTAAATCTGCAAAAATGACATATTTGCTACAAAGAAGTCTATATGGTACTTAATGTGACTTACATTCTAGTTGACAATTCCATTCTTTGGTTCCAATAAACACTTCTTGTCAGGTTTGTTTTCTTTGACAACATGGTATTCTGTTTAACAATTTGTTCTGGCATATAGCTATGTTTACTAGAAATAATAACATAATAATTTTACATATATTCATTCCTAAAGGATAATGAACATGAATCCAAGGTTTTATTTCTGTAAACTTTGTAAAATTCAACCATAATGATGAAGTTCTAAGTGTTCTTGTTTTCTATAACATGTCAGAACTCACTGAAGCTATATGTTTGTAAAAAGTATGTAATGTGAAAAAACATATAGTTAGAAGCATAACAGCTGTATAATTATATACATATATAATACAAACCAGAGAACATGAAAACAAACGTCAGATAATGTTATGAAACATAATGCTAATATATGTATGGATGTGTGTTTACTACTGAAACTGAAATTAATGTTTTGATTTCCCAATTCATCATTGTTTTGAGATTCACTAATACACGGGTCATGAAGAGTAGGGACCAAACTCCTCTCTAAACTACACAGTCTTGTAACAAATTTACATGTGCCACACATGTACTAAGACATGTCGCTCACAGCTTCCTCTCAATATCTTGTGCTTTTCGGTATCAGTTGCTGTTTCAAATTATAATTGCTTATATTTGTTATTTTCTGTTAATGTCTTTAACTTAAAATAGATTGATTATTTCGAACAATTTAAAAATGTGTGTTGTTTTGCAATTACTTTTTGAAAATGGCAAAACAAAACCTCTGGGGCTTTCTTAGTAGGATTTTATGTTGAGTAAATACTTTAAATTATACTGAGCTGATAAGTTAGTGCTTCTGACACTAACTGTAATATATGCAGGTAATCTTTCTTTATGTAGAGTTACATGATTCTCACTACCATCTGTTCACCTTTGTGATTTTATTGTGCTATGCTTTAAAGAAATATATCCTTTCATTTCACTAGCACAACTGTAGCAACATGGCAGTGAGTTAGTTCAGTGTTAGAAGACTCCAAAGGGACAAAATAGTGACATCACTCAAATTTATAGCCCACTTACTACAAAGAAGATTTAGAAGGAACACTGGTTGGCATAACAATGAAAAACTCATGTATATAACAATACTTCTACAAACATTGTAAAGCATGTGAAATCAAGTATAAGTTGGTGGTGCAATATTTTATAAATTTTAAATTCACTACTTTTATAAAATCTTAACTTTTAAACAATTCAGACATAGGTTAATACAAGATTCAGGTGATGCTCATTAATTAAATCTGTAAAGTGCATATCAAGCTAGTAATATAAATTCTAGTTTGTATTAACAAGGTCAATTATGCTAATTATTAGTTTACCTAATCAACTGTAGCCCTTTTTTTTCATGGTTCCAACTCCATCTTGCTTGAGACATCATCCAGTCAGGTGTATTAATGGTGCTTTATTTCAGTTATCCTCCTTTTATTATTTCAAACTTGGTCAACTTCTGGAAATAGACACTATATACTGATTTATCTCAGTCATCAGTAAAATATTTAAATAAAACAGTTTAAAACTAGTTTAATCAATGGTTTCATTTTACAAAAAAGTTACAGACACATTCTGTCTTTCTCAGTACCAACTAAATTTATTTTTGGATTCCTATTAACTCAAAAGCAAGTTCAGTCTATTTTGAGCAACCTGAGAGTTTCCAGAAAACTTTAACTTATGATTGCAATAAATTCCACAATTAATTGAGTAAAATTTTTAAAGTATTTATTATTGAGCTATGTAAGGAATAAACTAAACAGAATAATTAACCCAAGAGTGATACAAAACAAGAATTATTACAGAATGTTTTTCATAAAAAATATTAAGGCCAAACAGGACTTGAAACCATCATAAGTCTCAGCTCTTGATTTATTAATTGGTAAGGGCTCTGCCAATTGGCTTATTAAAAGCCCCAAATCTTTTAATGACATGCATTTGGAGAGGGCTTGACAAATGAGGTTTTGAACTGTCAAAATGTTTAAATGCAACACACTGTCCTCTAATGATCTAGTTTTTCTCAAAATGAAGTGAAAATTGTGACCAAATAGGATTCAATTATTAATAAAATGTTAGGGGACGGTGTGCCATAATAAATATTTACACTTTGATTCTCCATGGAAGAGTAAGAAAATTGTGAAAGGGTCACTTTTTAATGTTTCATTTGAGCCCAATTCTTCATAACTGAAAATATTAACAAATTTCTTGAAGTTGAAGTTATTAAAATTACACAAAATCTAATTTACATAATGATAAGGTGGTTTTCTTTAAGTACCCAATCTATTCATAGATTTTATTTTTAAATTTATGTTGCGTTCAAGACGAGTATTAAATTATAATACAAAGATGTTAATCTTTTTCTAATTCTATAGAATTAGAAAGTAACAACAAAGCATTGGGACATTATATAATAATAATTTATTTAAACTGAAACTAAAATTAAGTAATACATATAGACTCACAGTATACTTATAATTTCTAACGTTACTACTAGTACTAGTTTACGAAGAAAAAAATCCAAGATGCTCATTGAACATGAACAGTTGAAGTGAACCTCACTTGCCGTATTTTACATCACTGAAACTGAAAGTATATAATTTAAATTACAAGACAACCTCGTTTACTTACCTACTATAAATCTGAAAACAAATCAGTTTTGCACAATGTAAAAGTCATCCATAATTTATACATATAAGTATCTAACACAATTTCATATTTACACTCAGGAGTGCTAATAGTAATGACCCAAACAATCTGTGTTGCTAATGGTGATATACTGTTGCCACCTGATAGCTTAATTAATGCTCACGGGGGACTTGTTAGTTAAACCATATATATATATATATACATATAGGAAGCACTTCATTATCTAAAGTAATAATAAACATATTATTTAATATTATTATTATTTTAGTAAAACATTCATGGGCATGGCCCTGAAGAGGAAAGAAGAATCAGTGTTTTAATTTAATGTTGAAATCCTGATTTCTTTAAGTTCTTATAGCATTTGTTAGTTTTAACTAAAAACCCGTTAGGGTGGTAGGAAGACGTTTAAATTGCACCTGACCCTCCCAGTTCGCGAACACTTAACAACACCGACTCGGGCCAGCAGCTATTATTTAATTTAAAATATATACTTAAGTAAATATAAGTCTGAAGGCGTTATTACAATAAATAAAACTATAATTTCACCAATGATATATTCTCAAAAGTAAGGTAAGACTGACAAAAACATTAAAAATATTTATATTTCTAAATTTGTTTGTTTGTTTTTAATTATGCACAAAGCTACACAAGGGCTATCTGTGCTCTGCCCACCACGGGTATCGAAACCCGGTTTCTAGCGTTGTAAGTCCGCAGACATACCGCTGTGCCACTGGGGGGCATATTTCTAAAAACGAATATATAATAGGGATATTGAAATGTGTACAGTAAAAATGCAAAAAAATCACGTATTAATTGTTTTTGTTTGTTTGTTGTTAAGCACAAAGATACACAATGGGCTATCTGTGGTGTGCCCACCACAGTTATCAGTTTATTTTGAATTTCGGGCAAAGCTACACGAAGAGTATCTGTGCTAGCCATTATCATTTTATTACTATAGAAAGCGGTATTATGTGTTTCGTTAGGTTAAGAAGCCATCATGGGCACCAAAAGCAAATATTATCTAGAGCGTCATGAATTTTGTCAGCTCCAAGACGTGGATCTCGGAAGAACTCTAAATTTCTTTGTCATCCATTAACTGTGAGCTCCAGTAACTGAATGATTAGAAAAAGAAACACTATTTAAGGGCCGAGCATAGCCCAATGGTTAATGTGCTGAATTTTAAATTCGAGGTTTACGCCCAGTTACCATCAGAAAATACATTAACGTTACCTGTTTTCCTAGACTAAAAACAATCCTTCGATTCAGTTTAGCACAATGAGTTACGTTATCTTATAACGAAATATAGTTTTACTGACCAAATTATTTGAATAATTTCATGCTATTTTATGCGATAGCTCTTTTTTAGACAAGTTCATCGATTACCTTTGAAAGATATTGTTACGACAGTGAAAGTCATGT